CGAAGAAGCAAGACCATCTTTCAAAGACATCTATTCTTTCTTAAAGAACACGATCGCGGATTATCGACCTGGCACATAACATCGATAAACATTGAACGAATTTTTGTTTCACGTTTCGAATAACAACGTTATCGGATGGGCTATGAGTAATTTGAAACGGTATTCGCGTATCATTTGACCTTCGGCATTCTCCTATTAAGTGAATATCTTTGAAAACTAATACTATCCCAATACAGAAGACAATTCCGTTTGAATGTACGAATCTGAACAACTTTCTAAGATCGTTTAACGACGAGAGCCGATAAACGGAAAGCTATTTGCGTTATAAGATGTCCCTATCTAAACGCATTATTATAATCTTTAGTACGTTCTAGAGATCCGTAAACTTCCGTAAATGCTAATTAAAGATTTCTTTGCTCCTGCTGATTGGATTTGCGAACAATTAGCTACACGTTTTGCGTGAACACGATAACGTGTCAAATAAGAGAGAGACTGCCAGAGTATGCGTGCGTGTCTATATGTGTCTGTGTGTGTGTATGTGTATGTGTGCGCGTATGTGTGTGCGCGTGTCTGTCTGTACATCGGACGAAAAAAACAGAAAAAAAAAAAAAGAAAAAAAAGAAAAGCATATATCGGACAAACTTACGTATTTTTCCTACGAGGGACACAGATTTTTTTCTTTTTCCTTTTCTTTTCTTTCTCTTTTTGTTTTTTCTTTTTTTTTTTTTCTTTTTCTTGGAAATAATTCTCTTTTTTTTTTCTTCGAAAAATCTTGTTCGCGACCTGACGCAATCCCCTGGCGCCAAACGATTTCTCTTTTGAAACTCTATCGATTAAAGAAAAAAAAAAAGAAAAAAAAAAAAAAGGAAAAAAGAAACAAAGAAAGAAAGAAACAGAAAAAAAATAGGAAAAAAAGAACAAAAAGAAAAAAAAAAAAAACTTCCGTCGAATCATTTCCCTCGTCGTAAAGATCGGTTGATGTGTGACACATTTAAGGGTATACGTTTTAACGTGACAAAGAAATCGATCATGTACTCCTTCACGGTCATGACATTCCGAAATTTTATGAACCTTTTGTCGTCGCGAAAACTTAGATGTCACGTTATCGTGACATTGAACTCGTTGTCACGCTACGTCATTGTCACGAAAACATACGGAGATTTGATTTTTAACTAAAATGTCGTGCCGTTGAATCGCGTGAAAATAACAAGGGTTAACGAATAAGGGATAGGAGGTGGAGCGGGGATAGAGGTAGGGATAGGGATAAGGACAAAGAAAGAAATGTCACTATGTGTCGTTACAATGTTACGACAAACAATATCCATGTACTACTTTTATCGTCACGTAAAGACGTATCCATCTTGAATCTGAAATTTGTAGGAAAAGGATAATTAATCGGAAAAAATCAAATATTGCATGTAATTGATTATAAAAATTACATTAAATCGTTGAATTTATTTATTACTTTATACGATTGAACGATAAATGTTATTAATTTTGTCCTAACGACCGATCACAAATGCAATCAATCGAATCAGCGTCCTAACGCGAATTCATATATTTTCCTTTTTACGAGTAAAAATTCGTTGTGTACACTGTACAGTATTGTGAAAACGATAATGTTTAATAATATGCACGGCATTACGATACGAATAAGTCTACTCACTGTACATACAACAATAACAATAACGATAACAATGATAATAATAACAGCAACAACAAAAGCAACAACAAAAACAATAACAACAAACATAATACGTATGAATATCTATTGAAATCTGTGAAGGTTTTTAACGGTGCTCTTACGCTTGTTAGTCGATGATTGTTTCGGTTAAATAATAATAAGCGAGAAAAGCGCGCCTGAGTGATATGAAATAATCATTAATTTCGTCATTTATAATCTAATCATCACCGAGTATTACGAGCGTTTTTAACGAGAAAACATTTTGCGCAAAATAGAAATTTTGTAAATCGTCAAAAATCTCGCGATCGATTAATTAACAGCGCATTCATCCTATTTTCAATCGAAGAGAAAAAAAAAAAAGAAAATTATGTCTCTCTCTCTCTCTCTCTCTCTCTCTCTCTCTGTCTCTCTTTCTGTCTCTCTCTCTCTCTCTCTCTCTCTGTCTCTCTCTCTCTCTCTTTCTCCGATAAAGTTATCGTTCGTATTTGATTGCTACAATTATTTTTTTCAACAAACAAAACCCGATGATCGATAAGACAAAGACGTCAATATGAAATCTTATTCTATCTAACTGAAACAATTTTTCCAATACTTTTTAGTATCGTAAACATGTTTTTCGACTTGGAAACGTAGCAACAAGTACTTATTATTATTATTATTATTATTATTATTATAATTATTATAATTATTATAATTATTATAATTATTATAATTATTATTATTATTATTACTACTACTACTACTACTATTATTATTATTATTATTATTACTATTATTATTATTATTATTATTATTATTATTATTATTATTATTATTATTATTATTATTATTATATCACGTATATTTATCGAGGAAGAAAATTTTACGAGCGTGTAAGTTGAAAAGCGAGGAGTATGCTGATAAGAAAAAAAAAAAAAAAAAAAAAAAAGAAAAAAAAAGAAACGCTATGCCTTTATGTAAATCCACTATCCTCTTTCTTCTTCTTCTTCTTCTTCTACATCTTCTACATCTCCGTCTTCTTCTTCTTCTTCTTCTTCTTCTTCTTCTTCTTCTTCTTCTTCTTCTACTGTAACGTTTTCTTCTATCATTTCATTTACACTTGAAAACACACAGTGAAAGAAAGCAATGACAATTATTATACTTTAAGTGATATTAATAAAAAATGTAGATTAAGCCACATTGTGTTCTTTTTTTTACTCTTCTCGTCGTAATTATCACTCGTCTTTTACAAAGATCCTTAAGAGTTAATGAAAGCGAAAAGGAAAGGTGCAAAAAGAAAAGAAAAGATGGAAAAAAAAAAGAAAAAGAAAAAGAAAAGGAAGAGATACGAAAAAGCAACAAAAAAAAGAAAAAAAAAAAAAAGAAAAAAAAACGAGAAAAAGAGAGAGAGAGAGAAAAAGATAGATCATAGATCTATTTCGTTCTTATCTTCTTTTTTTTTCTTTTTTTTTTTTTTTTATTTTTCCCCTCGACACGATATCTCCCACTCCATACTTTATTATTTGTCATAATTCGGACAAATATGTGTGTGTCTCTGTACACATTGATAGAATAAATTCTACCTGTGTCTCTTTGTATTTCGTTTATGTCTGTGGTGTAACGTGTGTATGTTTACGAACATTTAAAGATCACTCATCGCACCAACAGTTTTTCTTATCTCGGTATTAACCAGAAGGTCAGTATAACGAATAACAGGAAACATACTGTTATATATTATCATATGCCATTATCGATTGCAAAAGCACAAATGTCAAAGAAGTTTTCTTATAAATAATTATAATATTAATTGACAAACAGCATCAATGAACTTAATTACTTTCTGTTAACGTTAGACATTGAACATTGGACCATGACTCATTAAAACGTAAATACATACATACTTAAGTATTCTAATTATGTTTTATCAGTAGGAAGAGAGAGGGAGAGAGAGAGAGAGGAAATAATTCGAGGAATATTTACAATTTCCTTATTGAATTCGTAGTATCAACTCTATATACTTTCATACATTCACAAAAAAACATAATAGAATTGTTTTCTCTTCACTTAAAGGAATAAAATAATAATGATCATCATTCTTATCAGTATTTTCTTTTAAGAAATTTCAACGATTCCATATGTACATTGTGTGAAATCTAAAACACTTAAACCAATAAGAAGATCATTCGAATATCTTAATCAATTTTACAAATTATTTTAAATTGTATATCAGATAATATATGTAATTAAGAGTTTTAATTCTGATAAGGTAAATCTTATAATAGAAATCCATTAAAAAGACAAGAGCAAAAAAAAAAAGAAAGAAAGAAAAACAGAAAGAATAGGAAAAAAAAAAAAAGGAATTTGGCAAAAGAAAAAAAAATTTACAATTTTAACGATTAACGTAAATAAAAGTTTACAGTACAAAAGTAATTAAATAACGCAAAAGTAATTAATTAGATCGCGTAAAATAAAGATAATAATATTGATAAAGCAAATGTGGATTAATATAGGAATAAAAAAGAAATAATAATAATAATAATAATAATAATAATAATAATAATTAAAAGAAAAAGAAAAAAAAAGAAAATTTAAAAATTTACACCACGGAGGGATCGTATGGAGTATGTAAAAGTCCAAAAAAAAAAAAAGAAAACGAGAGGGAGAGAAAGAAAAAGAAGAAAAAAAAAAGATGAATAAGAAGAAGAAAAAGAAGAAGAGAAAGTAATCGTAAGAAAGAGTAAAAAAGAAAAAAAAAGAAAAGAAAAAAAAATAAAAGATAACAGATATTTAAGAAATTTCCCAAATAAATTCTTTAATTATCGTATTAAATCGATCTAAATGATACGAACTTGAATACCTATAAATTAAGTTTTGTTTTTCTTACGATCACAATGATAATATCTTGCTAAATGATTTTTGAATGAAAAAAAATGAAAAGAAAAAGAAATGGAAAGAAAGAGAAACAGAGATAGAGAAATGGTGTTAGAGATAAAGAGAGAGAGAGAGAGAGAGAGAGAGTAGACAAAAAGAAAAAAAAAAAAAAGATATAATGAAATGCGCGAAGGCGTCAAGCAGATGTTTGTGTCTTTCTCTCTCTCTCTCTCTCTCTCTCTCTCTCTCTCTCTCTCCCTCTCCCTCTCTTTCTCTAACATTAACACTATCTCTTTCTCTCTCTATCTCTATCTCATTTCTTTCTCATCGAAACGTTCGTGCGCGCGCGTGTGCGTACGCGATAGTCAAGTCACCTTACGTTTATATAGTCCCACGAGGTGGGAAAGCGAGAGCATTAAATCGTCGACCGTCAGAGTGACACGCTACTCCTGTATACGCTACCGACAAAATGAAGTCTTACATATTCCGATTGACTATACTTTTGATACTGACATTCGCTGTAGCACATCTGACATGTAAGTGAGATTTCAATTAATCGATTAAGAATATAAATATTCCTATTTTTTTGTTTTTTTTGTTTTTTCTTTCTTTCTTTTTTTTCTTTTGTTTTTTTTTATTCGCGACAAATTATATTATATTTCATAATATTCGATGGATCACAATTAAAAAACATATTCATTATTTCTCATATATCATTTTAATATTTATATTATCCAACGACATATTCGTTATATTTATTTATATTGTATTATTATTTTGCATTACGTGTTATACTTTACTTTCAAGATTGCTTTCAAGATTTTTATATTGAAATATTACGAGCGTTCGATATTATTATTGTCCTTCTCGTTCAACCAATAATGAATAATTCGTTAAAGATATTTATATATATATATATATATATATATATATATACTTATCCTACAACAATAGGATCCTTCAGTTCGTTCTATCTTCTTTTCCTTTCTTTTTTTCTTTTTTTTTTCTTTTTTTTTTCTTCTTTTTTATTCCCTTATATCACCGTAGATATTGATATTTATTCAGGTAACAAGAAACTCTCAGTAATCTACGGTTCTATCAACTTCGTCGTCTTCTTCGTTCAGTCTTCATCTTTCGTCATCTATCTAATATCACTCTCAATTTCTTTCTTTTTTTTTCTTTTTTACTTCTCCTTGTTTTATTTATTTATTTATCTATTTTTTCTTTTTTTTCTATTTTTTTTTGTTTCCGACGCTCGCCGTCTTAAATTTCCAATCGATTTCTCTTCCGTTCTATGAGATATACGATGTCTTTATATTTAATAATAACATGAATAACAAATTTCCAATACGTATATATGAGATTCTAAATAAATTCATTTATTTATTTGTCTGTTTTTTCATTTTTCCTTTTTTTTTTTTTTTTTTTTGGTCCTCCCCCTTTAAAGCTGCGGAATATTGTCCATCAGAGAATTGTTTGCCCGAAGAACAATGTTCTATAAAAGTTAAAAATGGAAATTGTACGAATGGTAACGCGTGTTGTAGTATAGGTGAGTAGAATCTTTTGATTATTATATCTATAATATTTTCTAAAAAAAAAAAAAAAAAAACATTCCATTGTTGAAAATATTACTTTCATTATTACTATTATTATTATTATTATTAACAAAAAGTACGAAGTAATCAATCTCTTCTATAAATTTTCTTTTTCTTTTTTTTTTTTCTTTTTTTTTTTTCTACAGTTAAAGTCAACTATAGAACACACTGTCGTCATTTTCTTGGTGCCTGTATGAACAAATGCAACGACAAAGTTTGGATACGTGAAGCTATCGACTGTGCGGATAATCAAAGATGTTGTATTTTACTTTGAATTGATTAATCCATAAGATTCAGAAGTAGAGAAGAAGGAACGAATCTAAAAGAGATACAATTACCAACTTACTTTCTTTCATCGATCGATCTGTAACAGATCACTTGAAATATTAAACGAGACAGACATATATGTGTTTGTGTGTGTGTGTATATATATATATATATATATTTATATATATATATGATAATCCCTAGGGGGGAAATTGAAAGATTTCGTAATTGGCTCATCGTCATATGCGTATATCCACCTACACACACATACACACACACATATATATATATACACACACGCACACATACACGCGAACACTATCACACAAATGTATATATGCGTTCGTGTTAAATTCAGAGAGACGCGTGCCGTACACGATCGTGTGCCAAAATGAAAGCGAGTCGACTGGTTTTACAATTATAACGGGATTCGATTTACAACGAGTCCTTTTTGCGTGACTCGCCCATTTAAAATGATTCTTTCAAATCTCAACACAACGCCTATTGGTCTCGATCAATCCCATATGTTATTTCTTTTTCTTTTCTTCTTTGTTTTGTTTTGTTTTTTTTTTCCTCTCTCTTTCCTTTCTAACAAAACTTTTTGTATTTGAATAAGATAATCGAAATAACGTGTAAATACGTGTGATAAAACATTTGTAAGAAAATTAGAAATAAGAAATAAAGACGTCAAATGGCGTTAATAAAGCTAATGACAGAGGCAAAAAGAATGAAAAAAAATGAAAAAAAAAAAAAAAAAAAAAGAAAGAAACGGAAAAAGATTCTTCACCAAAACTCATATCCAATCAATGTCATATCCGATCTCTAAAGCCAATCGGATTATTTCCTTTGAACATATGCTACGTTAAATAATTTATGCGAAAACTTGATAACAACGAGACTAACGAATTCAAAGCTATCATTATCTATATAAGTGATTACGATAGGAATCAGTGTATTGCGTGATGATAATAATAAAAAAAAAAAAAAAAAAAAAAAAAAAAAGAAAGAAAAGAAAAGACAAGAAAAAAAAACAACAAAAATCGCAACTTGACTTTTCGTAACATTTTGTTGGAATCATCGGAACTCTTCATACGTGCTTGGAAAGAAAAAAATAAAAAATAAATAAATAAAGAAAGAAAGAAGAGTTAAAAAAAAAAAGTAGGAGAAAGAACGAAGAGAATAAAGAATCGAAAGAAAGAAAAAAAAAAGGATGGAGAAAAGAAAGAAAGAAAGAAAGAAAGAAAGAAAGAAAGAAAGAAAGATCGAGAGGGAGACCGTTCGAAAGAAAAAACGAGAGAAAGAGAGAAAGAGAGAAGGTAAGAACAGAAAAGGGAGTGACCTGTAGCAAAAGAGCAAGTAAGAAAACGAAGGAGAAGACGAAGGAGAAGAAGAAGAAGAAGAAGAAGAAGACGAAGAAGACGAAGAGAGGAAAAAGAAGAGAAAGTAAAAGAGAAAAAGATCGAAGAAAAGATCACCCAAGGCAATGCAGTCGAACGCGCCGATAGCTCGTATGTGTATGTATGTGTGTGACCCACGCGCGCTCATACACACACACACACACACACATATATATATATATGTACACACTCGCACATACATTCGTACAATCACGTTTTCTGTAGATGTATATGAGTATGTGTGTGGGTGTGTCTGTGTTGCTTGGCTCGTGTACGTACATAAAAGAAGAGGACGTTCGGTTATCCCGGAGGCCGAGAAGCGGCAGAATCATGCAGTCTCTCTTCCTCTCCTACCTCTCATACCCTCTCCTCTAACTATGGAAGGAAGAATAGCCGTAGGGTAAACGTGGAGGTGTGTATTCCATCGCGAGTGCGGTGGAGCTACGGTCGCCGTGCCTCAGGCACGGAAACGAGGAGAGATAGCGGCGATCTCTTCGTCTCCTTCTTCTCCTCTTCTACCACTTCCTCCACCTCCTCGCTATGCTGGAAGGTTATGAGAAGAGAGAGAGAGAAAGAGAAAGAGATTGTAAAGGAAAGAGAAAGAGAGAGAAGCTCTACGTTACCCTTAGGCTAACCAACGAGACGATGCGCTCCGTGATGCTTCAGGCAACTCCAGACCGTGCTTCTCCTTCTCTCTTCTTTTCCTCTTCTCTCCTCTCTTTTCCTCTCCACTCCTCTCCTCTCCTCTTCATTCCTCTACGTTCCTTTCCTTTCCTCTCTTACCTCCCTCCTTCTCTATCTCCTTTCCAACCTGACCTGTGGCTATTCTTCCTCACCCCCCAACCATCTCCTTTCCGTTACCCACGCTCTTTCTTCCTACCCATCTCTACTCCTCATCCTCCTCCTCATTCTCCTTTTTCTCATCCTCCTCCTCCTCCTCATACTTCTTCGTCTTCTTCTTCTTCTTCTTCTTCTTCTTCTTCTTCTTCGCCATCGCCATCGTCGTCGTCGTCGTCGTCGTCTTCTTCTTCTTCTTCTTCTTCTTCTTCTTCTCATTCTTTTTATTTTCCTCTTTCTCGCGTTCGGTCTTGAACGAGCAACCCTTTGGATCCTCTAATAATTCCACCGGCAAGATTTCTTCACATGACTAAAAGTTTTACATATTACACAAGATGATACCTAAGTACGTAAGTTACTTGGACTTGAGGATAAGTGGGCGGCGGGAGGGACGGGGAGTTAGGAGGGAAATTTTGCCGTTCTAATAAGGGCTCGAAATATGGGAACAAAAAGAGGATCCATTTTTTCCTTCTTCCGACCAATTCCTCCGTGCCACCCCCTTTCACACTCCCTATTAATATCTGCATTATCATTACTTCGATCGAATTTATAAGCGTAAGCAATGTTTTTCATTAATTTTTTCTCCCCATCGCATAAAATGCATTTTTTCCATTAGTAATAGAATAAATTTATGGGAAATATTTTCTTAATGGCCATAAAGTGTACTTAATAATGATCCTTCCTGTTCTTTTGAAAAATGAATCCATTGATTTATTTTCTCGAATCCATTACTAATTGATTCCACTAACAGCATCGACGTTACAATGTTACATTATGACAATTAAAAGCATACCAATGAATTATTATCTATGAGGATGGAAATGGGGTCAATGGAGCATGATCATATTAAATATGTGAACGATCGTAAATGTAATTGTCTTCAAAACGACGTAATAATTAATCAATATAATTTATAATATATAATTCCCTCTGCCACCCACCCCCACCTTCCCCCGCCTCCTTCCCTCCTTCTCTTCCTCCCTTTATATCGATCTTCTTAGAGATATATTTTATAGAACGAGCTAAACTTGTCATTTTCATCTCAATTTGTTCTACTTTTCTTGACTTTTCTCTCTCTCTCTCTCTCTTTCTTTCTTTCCTTGAGAAATTTCGATAAGACACATTTGTTATTCGCGTGTTCCGGGCCACTCTTCTTTCCTCCGGCTAAATATCTATCTATCCTCTTTCACGAGACGTGCGCGCGTGCGCGCTCTAGCGCGCTTACTTAGAGGGAGTAACGATGCCCTCGGGCTTCCTCGTGCGTTGCGGCTTCGTAACGATAAGCAACGAAATGAAATATTAATGAAGTACCACCGGCGTACGGCGACCGTTTTTCGCGAACGTTTCACCACCGATTACGTTCATGGATACCGCGGAAGTCATCAACAATCAATCCGATAATACGAGTCGACGCGTGCCGAATAAAATGTCATAGGGAAAATGATGTCTAAGTTGTTCGTGGGAGAAAAGAAAAAAAAAGAAAAAATAAAAAAAAGAAGAAGAAGAAAAAGAAAAAACGCACGGAGATAGAAAAATAAAAAAAGAAAGAAAGAAAAAAACCTAAAAAGGCTAAATATATTTTACCCATTGAAACTAATACAAATAGAAATAATATTGTATCAATATTGTGTATCAATAGATACCTAAGATTTAACATATTGAAGTATATCGTTTGTAATATTGCATCATCAATATTCAAAATGAATTTATCGTGTCAACGAATGAATGGATAACATGATTATTTGTCCGAATACGATATTACGGAATTGTACATGATAACGATCACTTAATCGATCTTTATCTACGAATGATTTTCAAACGATTATCTTCGTGTTATTCCCCTCGAGAGATTTGTCGGATGTATGTAAAAAAAAAAAAAAAAAAAAAAGAAAAGAAAACAAAGAAAAGAAGAAGAAAAGAAAAAGAAAAAAAAAAAAAGAAAAAAAAGGGAAAAAAAAAGAAATAAATAAAATAAAAAAAAAACAGGTAAGTTCGCGAACAAAGCGATCAGTATCAATATGTACGATAACGTGAATGCCGATTAAAATCAATCGTGTAAAATTCGAAATGTATTATATATATATATATATACATATTCTCATAGAACAATCTCGCAAACAGTTCGCGTTCTACGTTCTCGTTACGAAATCGATTGTCTTGTTCGTTGAATCTTAAATAGTTTTAGAATCTTAAAAAGAAAACGATGAGAAACATACTTGACGTGAAATCGAAAACGTAGCTAAATGTCCTTGATTAATGATAGCAACAGCCCGTATTAACATATCTACGGGATAAAAAATAATTGTTGCGTATGTATCAATCAAAAAGAGAGAGAGAGAGAGAGAGAGAGAGAGACAAAGAGAAAGGAAGTAAAAAGAAAAAAAAAAAAAAGAATGAATTTATTTAAGATAAAATTTGCGATAGACCCATCTTATATAAATACGCGTAAGAAGCACACTTCTGGCTCGTGCACGAGGTATGATAAATGGTTTGGTAACAAGTATATATGTATTTTATATAGGTATATATGTATGTATGTATATATATATATATATGTATGAGACAAGTAATACTTGTACCAGCTCTCGGTGTAATAATTATGCGCCAATAAATTGATTCATTAAAGAGGACTAAGTAATGACCGCACGTTGTCCGAGCTTATCGCGTCTCTTGCAAAGCGACGACAAGCGAAATATAATTTTCTCGACTTCGACGATATCCGACCGTGTTGTGCCCTCAAGGAACGTTCACGCGTGTTCTGAAACCAACTCATGAAAAACTTCGAGAGAGCAGACTTCGTTCATACTAAAAGGGTTAAAATAACTGACAAAATTCTTCAAGAAAATTCTTACTACAATATTTATATATATATATATATATATATATATATATATATATATATAAATAAAGAGAAAGAGAGAGAGAGACAGATATTATACATAAACTGAATACGATTTTAATGACATATCCAATTATTTTCAGTTAATATAAATAGATATAATTTGAACAAAATTAAATCGAACAGTTAATCCAATTCAACTATGATTTAAAGGATAAGATTAGTTGTTACCTCAAACTGACTTGAAAAATAACTTTTAAAAGAAGATACACGTTTACCGGCAATTTTCACGAAACAATGTATGAAAATGATGCCAGCTCCTATACAACGAAGATCCATGTCAAGTTTCCTTACGTTGAATACGTCCAACCCTTAGGCAATTTTGTAATTATAGTTACTTGTAGACAGAAAAGAGATAGAGATAGATAGATAGATAAAGAAAAAGAAAAAGAAAAAGAAAAAGAAAAAGAGAAAGAGAAAGAAAGAAAGAGAGAGAAAGAAAGAAAGAGAGAGAGAGAGAAAGAGAGAGAGAGAGAGAGAGAGAGATAAGAACACAAGAAAAGAAGGCGAATTATCTATACTTGGCAAAGGTAAAATCAACCGTTCGTAATACTTTCTTTTATCTTTTACCTTCGTTAACATACTTTCCTCATTATTTTTGACCATTTATTTATTAAACCGATAATAGTAACTATTCATCAAAAGTGACGAACTTTTGAATCCTATTACGTCGTAGATATATTCTTTCGAGTATATATATATATATATATATGATTATTTACGTGTCGTCATTATTCATAATTATGGTGAATCACGTGAGCTTGGTATCGTGAACAAAGTACGAGAACATTTTGGAGAATAAGCGAGAAGGAGTTGAGAAAGAAAGAGTGAAGAAGGAGAAGCAGAAGAAGAAGAAGAAGAAGAAGAAGGAGAAAATGAAAATAAGATCGAAAAGAAGCAAGGCGCGAGCCGCGAATATGCCCTATACGTGGCATAACCTTCGTCGTGCATCGCCATCTCGGTCGATCTCC